CCACATGACTGATTTTTGGTTAGTGGAATTGGGTCAGAAGTGATGTTTGCGGGGGCACTTGGATGGCACAGTCAGTTAAGCCTCCAACTCTTGGTTTCAGCTCAGGTCGTGATCTCAGGGTCATGAGATTGAGGCCCACTTTGGGCTCTGAGCTCAGCGCAGAGTCTGCTGATTCTCTCTCTCTGCCCCTCCTGCTCATGTTCTCTCTCTGTGTCCCTCTAAAATAAATAAATAAGTCTTTAAAAAATATAAGTGATGTTTGTCATTTCCAAACCTTAATTCTAAAAATACTCTTGGGCGCCTGGGTGGCTCAGTTGGTTCAGCGACTGCCTTCGGCTCAGGTCATGATCCTGGAGTCCCGGGATCGAGTCCCACATCGGGCTTCCTGCTTGGCAGGGGGTCTGCTTCTCCCTCTGACCCTCTTCCCTCTCATGCTCTCTATCTCTCATTCTCTCTCTTTCAAATAAATAAATAAATAAATAAAATCTTTAAAAATACTCTTTCAGGGGCACCTGAGGGGCTCAGTCGGTTGAGTGTCTGACTCTTGATCTCACCTTAGGTTTTGATCTCAGGGTCGTGAGTTCAAGCCCCACTTTGGGTTCCATGTTAGGAATGGAGCCTACTTAAAAAATAAAATAAAAATAAATAAATAAACAAAAACATTCTTTCATGCAAATTAATGCTTTCTGTCTCTGTCTCTCTCCTCTCCTGTGTGTGCTTTCTCCTGTGAGCTGGCTGAATGTGGAGAATTCAGAAGGTCATAGGAGATGGTGGAGTCCCCAGATGGAAGGAATTTGGGTTGCTGAAAAACCGCACAGAGCAACCACATTCTCACCCAGTTTACCTTAGGCTGCAATGTGAGCAAGAAATAATCCTTTTTTGTGTTTAGCTACTCAAAGTTTAAGATGTTGTTAATTACAACAATAAGTCATCCTATAAATTCTGACTAATAAATTTTCTATTAAATCTTTTTTTTTTTTAAGATTTTATTTATTTATTTGAGAGAGAGAATGAGAGAGAGAGAGAGAGCACATGAGAGGGGGGAGGGTCAGAGGGAGAAGCAGACTCCCTGCTGAGCAGGGAGCCCGATGCGGGACTCGATCCCGGGACTCCAGGATCATGACCTGAGCCGAAGGCAGTCGCTCAACCAGCTGAGCCACCCAGGCACCCCAAATTTTCTATTAAATCTTATGATGTTCTGAGTCAAAAATAAATAAAAACTTGTTCCTTGTTTCCCTTTAGCATCTTAGAAATTAGTTCCATGTAATTATTTGTCCTAAAAACACAGCGAAAGTCCCTACAGTTAAAATCCAAGATGGCCTCCAATTGTTCTCATCTCCAGGGATTCAAGTCCTTGTGTAGTTCCTTCCCACAATGAATCATGGCTGCCTGGGATTACCAACAGATTACTGCAGAAGAAATAGTGTATGATTCCAAGACTGAGTCATTAAAGACATGGTAATGTCCACCTTGGTCTTTCTTAGACCACTTGCTCTGTAGAGAGCCAGCTGCCATGTCATGAGGACATTTAAGCAGCCTGTGGAGAAACAGACCTCCCATCAACCACTAGCACCTACTTTCCAGCCATGAGTGTGCCACCTGGGAAGCATATTCCTAGCCTCAATCAAACCTGGAGATGACAGCATCCCTGGCTGACAGCTTGACTGAAACCTCGTGAGAGATCCTGAGCCACAAACACTCTGATAAGTTGCTCCTGAATTCCTGATGAAGTTGACATAATAAATATTCATTGTTGTCTTAAGCCACAAGGTATTGGAATAATTTGTGACAAGGCAGATGACACAATCCATGATACTACTGTTTGGTAAAATTTCTAGATTTTTTTTAATCTCTTTTTTTTTCCTCCAACATTATTGAGACATAGTTAACATATAGCATTGTATAAGTTTAAGGGGTACAAAATAATGGTTTGATATATATTGCAAAATGATTACTACAATAAGGTGAGTAAACACATTCATCACCTCATATAGTTACAGTTGTGTGTGTCAGTGTATGTGTGGTAAGAATATTTAAGATCCACTCTCTTAGCAAACTTCAAGTATACAATACAGTATTGCTGGGGTGCCTGGGTGGCTCAGTCGGTTAAGTGTCTGCCTTCGGCTTAGGTCATGATCCCAGGATCCTGGGATCAAGCCCTGCATCAGACTCCCTGCTCAGCAGGGAGTTTTCTTCTCCCTCTCCCTTTGCCACTGCACATGTGTGTGCTCTGTCTCTCACTCTCTCTCTCAAATAAATAAATAAAATCTTTAAAAAAAAAATACAGTATTGTTAAACATAATCACCATGTGGTACATTACATCCCCAGAACTTATTCATCTTAAAACTGGAAGTTCATACCCTTTGACTACCTTCATCCCTGCCCCTGGGAACCACTAATCTTCTCTTTGTTTCTATGAGTTTGGATTTTTTAGATTCTGCATATAAGTGAGATCATGTAGTATTTGTCTCTCTCTATTTCAAATAACATAATGCTCTCAAGTTTCATCCATGTTGTCACAAATAGCAGGATTTCCTCCTTTTTTATGGCTATATAATATTTGTGTATGTGTGTGTAATATACATCTATATATGTATATGTGTGCGTGTATATATAATATACATCGCATCTTCTTTATTCATTCCTGTTGATGGACACATAGGTTGTTTACATGTCTTGACTATTGTAAATAATGTGGCAATGAACATGGGGTACAGATATCTTGAGATAGTGATTTCATTTCCTTCAGATATATACCCAGAAAAAACATTGTTGAATCATATGGTAGTTCTTTTTTTTTATTTTTTATTTTTTTAGGTAGGCTCCATGTCCAACATGGGTCTTGAACTCATGACCCTGATATCAAGACCTGAGATCAAGACTTGGATACTCAGGGGCGCCTGGGTAGCTCAGTCGTTAAGTGTCTGCCTTCGGCTCAGCTCATGATCCCAGGGTCCTGGGATCGAGCCCTGCATCAGGCTCCCTGCTCAGCGGGAAACCTGCTTCTCCCTCTCCCACTCCCCCTGCTTGTGTTCCCTCTCTTGCTGTGTCTCTCTCTCTCAAATACATAAATAAAATCTTAAAAAAAAAAGATTTGGACACTCAACCATCAACTGAGCCACTCAGGAGCCCTTATGGTAGTTCTATTTTTAATTTTTTTAAATGTGCTAGAGTTACTCTATTTTTTTTGAAGTGTTTATTTATTTATCTGAGAGAGAGAGCATTCGAGAGAGCACAAGCAGAGAGGAGGTGCAGAGGGAGAAGGAGAAGCAGACTCTCTTTTGAGCAGGGAGTCCAATGTAGGGCTCAATCCCAGGACCCTGGGATCATGACCTGAGCCAAAGGCAGATGCTTAACCGACTGAGCCACCCAGGAGCCCCTCTATTTTTAATTTTTTTTAGAGATTTTATTTATTTATTTGAAAGAGAGTGAGTGAGAGAGAGAGAGAGAAGGAGCGGGGGGAGGGAGAAGCAGACTCCCCACTGAGCAGCGAGCCCAATGTAGGGCTCAATCCCAGGACCCTGGGATCATGACCTGAGCCAAAGGCAGATGCTTAACCGACTGAGCCACCCAGGAGCCCCTCTATTTTTAATTTTTTTTAGAGATTTTATTTATTTATTTGAAAGAGAGTGAGTGAGAGAGAGAGAGAGAAGGAGCGGGGGGAGGGAGAAGCAGACTCCCCACTGAGCAGGAAGCCCGATGTGGGGCCCAATGCCTGGACTCTGGAATCATGACCTGAGCTGAAGGCAGATGCTTAACCAACGGAGCCAACCAGGCGCCCCTATTTTTAATTTTTTGAGGAACTTCCATACTGTTTTCCATGGTGGCTCTACCAATTTATATTCCCATCGACAGTGTACAATTGTTCCCTTTTCTTCTCAATCTCACCAACATTTTTTACCACTTATGTTTTTGATGATAGAAATTCATCAAATTCATCAACAGGTGTGAGGTGATAGCTCATTGTAGTTTTGCATTCCCTGGTGATTAGTAATGTTAAACAACTTTTCATGTAGGTGTTGGCCATTTGACTATCTTCTGTGGAAAAATGTCTATTTGGATCCTTTGCCCATTTTTAAATCAGATTGTTTGGTTCTTTTGCTCTAGAGTTGTATGAGTTCATTATATGTTTTGGATATTTGCCCCTTATCAGATGTGTAATATTTTCTCCCATTCCATAGGTTGCCTTCTCATTTTGTTGGTTGTTTCTTTTGCTGTGCAGAAGCTTTTTAATTTGATATAGTACCACTTGTCTATTTTTGCTTTGGTTGCTTGTGCTTTTGGTGTCATAACCATAAAATCATTACCAAGACTAATGTCAAGGAGCTTTTTCTCTATGTTTCCTCCTAGGAATTTTATGGTTTCAGGTGTTGGGTTTAAGTCTTTAACCCATTTTGAAATAATTTCTCTGAGTGGTGTAAGATGGGGATCCCATTTCATTTTTTTGCATGTGAAATCAGCTTTTCACCACCATTTATTGAAGAGACTATCTTTTCCTCATTGAATATTCTTTGCTTCCTTGCCAAATATTAGTTGACCATATACACATGGGTTTACTTCTGGGCTCTGGATTCTGTTTTATTGATCTATATGTCTGTTTTTAATGCTGGTACCATACTATTTTGATTATACAGCTTTGGAATATAGTTTGAAACTACAAAGTGTGATGCCACCAGCTTTGTTCTTCTTTCTCAGAATTGTTTTGGGTTTTCAGGGTCTTTTGTGGTTTCATACAAAATTGAGAATTTTTTTATATTTCTGTAAAAAGCCATTAAAATCTTGATAGGGATTACATTGAATTTACAGATCACTTTGGGTAGTATGGACATTTTAACAATATTAGTTCTACCAACCCAGAACATGGGATATCTTTTCATTCATTTACCTGTTTTCCAATGTCTTTTGTCAATGTCCAAGATTTCACAGAGTACAAACCTTTCCTTCCTTAGTTAAATTTATTCTTAAGTATTTTATTATTTTTGATGCAATAGTGAATGGGATTTTTAAAAATTTCTTTTTTCAGATAATTTGTTGTTGGTATATAGAAACACAAACTGAAATTTTCTACATTCTAGTGGCACTCACTCTCCCGTGGGTCTTCAGTGTCTGCTACAGAAACAGTGTACACAAGGAACCATTCTATTCATTTCCAAGTCACAGGAACTTGTATCAGCCCTGTAGCTAAAAGGATATGGGGTGGAATCATTTGATAATGGCAGTTTTGAAGAGTAAGTCTGAACAATGTAAGCTGATTCTGACGTCTTGAAATCCTTAAACAGGGAGGGAGACTCTGGAAGGAAAAAAAGTTAGAATAATATTTTTCTTCATACTATTATTACCAGAAACATTTTATTTTATCTTATTTTAAGATTTATTTATTTATTTGAGAGAGAGAGAGAAGTGTGAGCAGGAGAGGGGGGAGGGGCAGAGGGAGAGAGAATCCTCAAGCAGACTCCCTGCTGAGTGTGGAGGTTGATGTGGGGTTTGATCCCAGGACCCCAAGACCATGACCTGAGCCAAAATCAAAAGCTGGTCACTTAACTGACTAAGCCACCCAGATGCCCCTACCACAAACATTTTAAAACATTAGCTGGAAGACTATTGAACAACTTTGAAGAGAATACAAATGGGACACCTCCATTTATTTCTTCAGTAGGATGGCACACACCAATATGGGAAAGGAGAATATCTGCAATTCTGTAGAGCTAGCAAGTGTTGTAATAATAATGATAATAATAATTATATCAAGTTAACGTGGAGTCTACATATATCTTAGACTAGTTTATCCACTCCCTTCTCCTGCTTTCTTCCTACAAAGAGATTGTTTTGTTCTCACATTTTCTTCAGGTGGATCAAGTAGTTAAATAACCAAATTTCAGTATAAATGACAAAGAGATGGTGAGGAAAGTACATGTCAATTCATCAGAGAAGAAGTTTGAAGAAGGATGCTTCTTTTGGCATCAGAATCTCTATCCCTTAAAGTAACTTACTAGAATTATGCAGTGGAGTTCCAGTGCATACAGCTTCATCCATAGCACAGGGTATCTTGGCCAGTGATCTTCTTTCCCAGGTGGGTAGTTGACAAAATTCCTCCAGCAATGATCATACTCTGAGGAAACACAAATCTTGGTTCATTCAACAAATACAGCAGAAAGTTACTTTAAAGGGAGCCCAACTTATAGATATACTTTATATAAAGCCTATTAGCCTCTTTGTCATTGGAGAAGGGCTACACTCCCCCAGAATCCCTAAAAAAGAAGAAAGATGAAGATGGCTGAGAGGTCATAGTGACAGGAATGGAGAAAGGAGTCCTCTCTTTGATACTTCCTTACTATGAAATTCAGACCTGGTCCTTTCTTATGTTATTTTGGACTTTCACTTCTGAGACTTCTAGAGTGGGATAATCAATCTCCTGGCCTTGAAACATGCCGGCACCACGGTCTCTCATAAACACTCAAGATTCTTTGTTAATTGTTTTTACCTGGGACTCTCATAATCTGGATAGTCACACCACTGTTAATGAGGTCTCTGAGTCCTTGACGGTTTTGTGGATCCATATGCCAGAAAAGTCGTGCTACATAAATAACCAGAGTCACACTAGGGTGTTGACTCAAAAATCCTCTAATAGCCTCAGAGCATTCCCAACACGGACTCCAGGACAGGAACCAGGTGATGGAGCAGTGGATGGATGGGCAATACTGTCTTTCTGAAGTAAATTTTTCTATAAAATTGATTTCCACATGGTTGGAGGTGTTTTTGCCTGAGTTTCGCCAGATCTTATGGCTTGTGCCCCACTGGATTTCATAGAGCAGGCAGGCCTCTTTACGGAGTTCTCTGGGGTCAAAGAAGACTTCAAATTCCCAGGGTTCGATTCTCCTCCTGAAACACAAAAAGCACTCCCATGTTGTCATGCTATCTTTAGAGGGAATTTGAAATCATTTCCTGCTCCCCTCTTCTATCAGACAGATCTAAAACATGACATCTCAGGGTGCCCGGGTGGCTCAGTTGTTAAGCGTCTGCCTTCGGCTCAGGTCATGATCCCAGCGTCCTGGGATCGAGCCCCGCTCGGCGGGCTCCCCGCTCGGCGGGCAGCCTGCTTCTCCCTTTCCCACTCCTCCTGCTTGTGTTCCCACTCTCTCTGTCAAATAAATAAATAAAATCTTTAGAAAAAATAAAACATGTCTCAGGAAACTTTTTTTTTCTGTTTTTCAAAGTTATCTAAGGAGGTCCTTTTGAATTATCAAGAGTTTCTCTCACAAGCATAGTGAAGAGATTTTTCCCAACTCATGTTATTTGGTTACCACTCTCTCTATACCATTACCTGGTAATTTAGAATTCAGGTATAAATGTGTCTTTGTTTCACTTTTAAAAGCTTCTCTTTATAGTCTAATCTTCCTGTCTCACCATGGAGTTGCCATGTCCCAATCGTTAATCTTCACCCAATCGTTAACCTTCATGACTCAATGGACTCTAACTAGATTTTAGGTGTAGAAGCCTCAAATTGCCAACAAGATTCTATTGTCAAGTCTGAGAAGAGAGTCAGCCTCAGGATTTTTCCACATTAAATTCTGTATCCTAATTCCTCATAAGAAAAACATTCAAACTGCTCCCAATGACAACCTTATTCATTTTTTTTTTTTTTTAGGATTTTATTTTTAAGTAATCTCTACACCCAGTGTGGAGCTCAAACTTACAACACTGAGATCCAGTGTTACATGCTCTATTGACTGAGCCAGCCAGGTGCCCCTCCCAATGACATCTTTAGATTTAATATTTTCCATGCGTCAAAGCTGGAACTCAGGGGAGACTCAGGATTGTGCTGAGGACTCTTTGCAATATGGTTGAGTCATCAGCTTGTTATTACATCCTAATATTTCCACTCATTCCTAAAGTATTACATTTATTTACTACATAGATCAGTCCTTCCACCCATCATGAGATAATATATTCCCTGACAGAAGACCCCTTGTTATAATGCTACGTCCAAAAAAATGGGCATATAGTATAAAACAAAAAGATGAAATCAAAGTGACAAATGAGGTCTCTGGACTTTTCACTAGTGGCTATACAGTCATGTGATTTAAACAGAGAAGAAACAAAGGTAAGGCAACAATGGAACAAAGCTGGAAGGTAATTTATTTAAAAAAAACCCAAAAGACATACAAGCAAAGATACACAAAGATATAATCACAGAGAATGAAGTTAGAAGAGGCAAAAAGGAAAGAGTGGGAGCATGATAAAAGAAGAAAGGAAAAATATGGAAAGCTATAGTCCTACAGCTCTTAAATCCACTTATTCTTGGTTGAATTAAATGCTCACTATGGTGGTATTATTCTTACCTTAAGGTGGCATCTCCAGCTGAAGGACCTGTTGACCAAGAGATGATTATGTCAGATAACACCCACGTACAAATTTAGCTAACAAAAAAATACTCTGTTCTTTCAAACCTGCAAACCGTCTCAGAAAAAATGGAGTTAAAGATTCTCTCCTGTATTAATTGAATTGGCCCATCAAGAAAAGAAAGTTTCTAAGGGCTTTGCCAAAATCTATTTGCCCAATCCCAAACCAAGTAACCCTCCTTAAGGCTCCAACAAGAATGATTAAGTGAAATGAGAAAGTCATTCCTTAGAGGCTCCTATGTGTAATTTCTAAGTGTTTCCATAGCTTCTTGTACCTCCTTCATCATAGCAATCATGCTGTATTTTGACTATTATTTATATGCCTATAATAACACTGAATTGTAAATTATGTGAGGTATGGATTACGTATATCTTGTTCCAGACCCTATCACACTGCCTGAAACATGTTGGTTAGTAATAGATATTTATTGAGAAAATGACTGAATGAATCTCACTACTATCCTTTATAGAATAGCTATAAGAGAGAGAGAGAACCACACTGTGCTGAGAAAATATATCTATTATATATTGCTGGTGGGAATATAAATTGGTACAGCCCCTCTAGGAAACAGTTTGGCAGTTTCTTAATTAAAAACCACACATGGGGGTGCCTGGCTGGCTCAGTCGGTAGAGCTATTAATGCGGGGCCTACTAAATGTTAGGCACTCTTTGAAGTACAGGAATAGGGAACAAAACAAATCCCTATGTTTATGTTCATGGAGTTTATATTCTAAGCAATGGATTTTATTTGAAGTGTCCTAGAAGCCATTAGAGCATGTAAGGACTATTCAAGTTCAAGTACTGGATTTTAGAGGCCCATGCCTCTCAAGACTCAGAGCTTTGGGGATGAAATGGGCACTGGCCTGACCTGAATTCAGAATATTCATGGTGTAGAATTCTAAAACTTAGAAAGCAGAAATGCAAGTCATTTGTTTTATTTGGAGGAACATGGACATTTATTTTGGCAACAAGAACTCATGTTAAGGGTTTGTTCCCTGGTTATTTGAAAGCTAAAATTTGGGGAAGTGGGAGAAAAGGATCATAAATTGAAAGGCTCAATTGTCATTATTACCAATCTCTCTTTTCCAAGAAAGAGGAGACACAGAGCAAAAGGTTCCTTCCACATGATACCCTTTCTCCGTGGGCCAGAGAGATGCACAAGTCATTGCCACCCCTGAGGGGGAAGTAGCTGTGCAGAGATGCAGCCAGGACGTTCAGTCTATCCTGTTGGCAAACCTTAACTCTGAGGTGGTGTTTTTAAGCCAAGAAGAGTCACAAGACCTGGAAGACACTTAATCCAAAACAGGAGGCATTTTGCCCAAAGCTGTGTGTGTGTGTGTGTGTGTGTATCTGTGTGTGTGTTGAGGGGTCCAGAATGTGCCACTGAGGCATAAAAATTATTTGGATCTGAAGACATTCAAAAATAGACTGCCTTCTTCTGAAATCTTTTATTTTCCTATAAGCAGAGCCTTCCAAAAGAACTCAAAAGAAATCAACTGTTATAAGCCCCATCCCCTGGAACAAACCAGGAGAGTTCGACTCTTACCACTCAAGATACACACCCACACAGACATTGTCACAAAAACATAATATGTCCATCTAGTCTCCCAAGGGCCCATCTAGATTTCCTAAAAGTTTATTTGTTTTTCTATAAGTGCTCTTCTGCCTCTCTGCTTTTCCTATTAAGGTGGTATATAAGCCCCAAACTCTAAACACCTCTTTGAATCACATTTTTGTGAACTCTTGTACATAATTTTGTCTTTTCTTTTGCTAATCTGTCTTTTGTTAGTTTAAATCTGCAGGCACCCAAAAACAGAATCTAAGAGGGTAGAGGAAATTTTTTCCTCCCCAGCTCTGTGTATGTGTGTGCTGGCTGTATCTGTTTGTGCATTTGTACTAGATAGTAGAGGGATTGTCCAGAGAGGATCTATGGTGCAGTTTCCTATAGATGGAAAATGATTCTAGCTGGAGTGTGGGACCTTTTTTTGAGAGAGAGAAAGCATGTGCAGGAGCAGTAGGGAGGGGCAGAGGAAGAGAGAGAATCATAAGCCCAGCATGGAGCCCAATGCTGGGGGGCAGAAAGAGGGGCTTGATACCCTGAGATCATGACCTGAGCCAAAATCAAGAGTTGGTCATTTAACCGACTGAGCCACCCAGGTGCCCCTGAAGTATTGGAACTTTAAAAAGAGAAATTAGCTGGATGTTTAAAAAAAAAAGACAGAGTCAGGAAACACTATCCTAAGTGAGACCTGAAGAATAAACCTCTTATCCTTAAGAGGATGTACAGGGAATTTAAACACTGAGATGGAGGAAGAAGAGAGTGGCTAACAACTTGGAATGGGTACTTCTCAGACAATCCAAACTGGGGCCTTTGAACCAGCAGGTCCACTCAGAGGGAGCCCTGTAGAAACAGAGGCCATACCTATAAAAGAAGATCGTATTGATGGTGGGTGAAGCAGCAGTGAGAACTTCAGAGAGAGTGAGATATATTCTCAATATCTATCCCTTTGATGCAAGGCAATGATACCAGCCACATGAGTTGGGATTGTTTGAGGGATAAAATACCCCACCTTCAGAGGAAAGTCCAGGGAAATTACCCGGATACTTCAACTAAATAATGCTTTCCCCCAACATGCCACTCACAAGAGAATTCTCATAGAGGAAAAGCATAATGGAGAAAAAAATATATTGTTTCTTAAAACCCAAGACTGATTTGTGTATCCTCTCCTATCATCATGCCCACATTCCTGCAAAGTCTCCTAATGGGTCTCTTTGCTTCCAAGTTTTTTCTGCTTCCAGTCACAAAGGCACCAAGTGCCAGCTAAGTATGTCTAAAGCACTATTTTAGGGCTCAGTTAGTTAAGCATCTGACTCTTGATTTCGGCTCAGGTCATGATCTCAGGGTTGTGAGATTGAACCCCACGTCGGGCCACCCTGGGTGTGGAGCCTGCTTAAGATTCTCTTTCCCCTTCTGCCTCTCCCCTCCTCTAAAAAAAATAAAATAAGGGGCACCTGGGTGGCTCAGCTGGTTAAGCATCTGACTCTTGGATTCAGCTCAGGCCCTGATCTCATGGCTTGTGAGATCAAGCCCCACGTCAGACTCCTTGTTCAGTGGGAGTCTGCTTGGATATTCTCTCCCTCTGCTCCTTCCCCTGCTCATTTGCTCTCTCTCTCTCTCAAATAAAATAAAATAAAATAAAATAAAATAAAATAAAATATAAAACAAAATAATAAAAAAATAAAGCACTGTTTTAGTCATTGCTATGCTATTCACAAATTCTCCAAAGATCTTCTCTGACCAAAAAGATCAACCTCATTTTCCTTAGCCTAGCATTCAAAGCCCTCCATAATATCATTCCAGGTTTGTTTTCCTTTTTTTTTTTTTTTTTTTTAAGATTTATTTATTTATTTGAGAGAGATAGGGAGAGAGAGAGTGGCGGGGAGGTGCAGAGAGAGAATCCTCAAGCAGACGCTTGGCTGAGCACAGAGCCTAACTTGGGGTTCCATCTCATGACCCTGAGATCCAGACCCTGAGATCATGACCCGAGCAAAACCAAGAGTCTGTTGTGTGACCAACTGTGCCACCCAGGCGCCCCTCCATCTTTGCTTTCTAATCTCACTGCAGATTATTTCCCCAGATTCTCGTATAGCTTAACCAGTTTACTCTTTATATTTCCACACACAATCTTTGTAAATTCTCTCAAGCTCTTTGTGTCAGTCAACTGGGACTCTCTTCCTCTTTGCTAATCCAAATTCTACCCTTTCAGGATCCAGCTGAAATCCCACTTCAGCTGAAAATCATTTCCTTCCATATCCTGAAGTGTTCTCCTTCTCCCATAAATGTCTCCAACATTAAGTAACTGAACCTTAAATTATCAATTAACATGCCCTTGTGCTTTCACTTCTGATGCTATTTTAAACTGCTAATTAACAGCTGTATTTTTTACTTAATTTTTTATTATGGTGAAATAAGCATTGATTTGGTGTCATTTGATCAAAATCATTTGTGGATGTGAATAGTTAGTATTAATAACAAAAATAAACCCTGTTTAAGAATAATATCAATATAGTAATAAATAGGAAAGTTGAAAAATGCCTAAGACACAAGCACACACACACACACTATGCACACACACACACTATGCACACACACACAGATTTTGTCCTTTTCAAGAATACAGAATTTACCAGGCCCTTGGGTCCGGTTTACCTTTGTCGGAAGCCATGGTGCTCTGTCACTGGACTTTTCCCTTGGAACTATATTACTGTGTGGATTGCTCTTACGAACAACATGCCTGAACATGGTAGGTGTGACCACGGCTACCTGGCTTGGGCAGAGGATGACTCAGTCCTGAGTCTCAGGCAATTACTGGGTATCTAGATTGAACCAAGCGTGGGGATTTGTATCACTATGTTGATAAGAAAGCTTATGACTCAAATAATCCTTTTTTAAAAAGATTTTATTTATTGGGTTGGCCAGTTAGCTCAGCTGGTTAGAGCATGGTGCTAATAAAGATTTTATTTATTTGAGAGAGAGAGCACAAGCAGGGGGAGCAGCAGAGGGAGGGGGAGAAGCAGACTCCCTACTGAGCAAGGGCGCTTGCTGTGGGGCCAGGTCCCAGGACCCCGGACCCCGGGATCATGACCTGAGCCAAAGGCAGACTTTTAACAAACTGAGCCACCCAGGCACTCTTCAAATAATTAATCCAGTAGAGTAAATCACTGAGGCTATCTGAATTTCTTTCTTTTTTTTTTTTTAATTTTTTTTAATTTGACACAGAGAGAGACAGATGCGGAGAGAGCACAAGCAGGCGGAGCAGCAGAGGGAGAGAGAGAAGCAGGCTCTCCACCAAGGAGGGAGCCCCATTTGGGGCTCGATCCCGGGATGGTCCAAGCTGAAGGCAGATGCTTAACTGACTGAATTTCTAAGTTCTTCCCTGATAACATCTGAATTTAGTAACTTTTCCCTTTCCTTAAATTAACGCTGACCCATCATTCCTTATTAGAGGGCACAAAGGAAGAACAAAGGAAAGAGAGAATTACCCTGTTTGTATAACCTGAAGACTTTCAATGTTACCTGGTGAAGACACTATGGACTTGCCTTTTAGCTATTATTTACTTATTTCTAACTTCCTTCTACTTTGCTCTTTGCCCCCAGGGGAAGGGCACTGTTAGATGCAAAATCAGAAGAACTTTGGCCTCGAAGTTGGGTAATTAGTGTACAAGTCTTAGGTGATCTCTCTTCCTTTTTGAAGCTAAGGTTAAGTGTACGGCCAAGTCCACTTCTGCTTTTTCATCCTTCTTGAGAAAGTGAATACTGTGCTCCAGATTACCATTGCCTCCTGTTGTCTGACCGCTGGCTCAGGCTTCTCTGAGTTTCAGCAGACTCCCAGAATTGAGGTCACTTTCAAGACCGAAGTCTCCCTCCCTCTAGCACCTCAGATCTAGAGCTGCTGAATTTGAATCTCAAGTACCATGAACCCTCTACCTGAGCCCTAAATATAAGACATTCCTTAATTATGAAAGTCAAACTAGAGTTTCCGCAAGTAAAGCAGTTGTTCAAGTGGCAGGTTAGAGTTTTGAAGAAGGGGCAGAAGTGCCACATCATAAATGCAGGTCCTTCAGAAGCCAAGTGTTTCAAAGTTGTATTTGTGGTAAGTAGAAGAACAGCCCTTCAGAGATGTCTGCCTCCTAATATCTGAAACCTGTAAGTGTGGTACCTTACAATGGCACATGGGACTTTGCAGGTGTGATTAACTTAGGGATCTTGGGGTGAGAAGATTATCCTATCATGAGTACCCTTATCCTATTATCCTATCAAAAGTACCCTTATAAGAGTGGTGCGAAAGAATCGGAGTCAGAGAAAGCTGGTTGAATATGAAAGCAGATATGGCTGGAAGGGGCCATGATTCAGGGAATGAGGATAGCTTCTAGAAGTTGGAAGAGCATGTAAATGGATTTTTTTCCTAGAGCCTCCTGAAAAAATGCCCTGATGACACCTTGATTTTAGCCAGTGAGACCCTTTTGTGTATTTCTGACCTCCAGAGCTATATGAAAATTTATGTTGTTTTACACCACTAAGTTCATGGTAATTTCTTATAGCAGCAAGAAAAAACTAATGTGACACACTCACAGAAGGCATATATGCACTAGTTAAGATGGAGTATAATTTGAGTTTGTTTCTATTAGAATTCCTATCGAATACTTATCATCAAGGGTACTTTTGATTAGATTTTGTGTTAGAAAACTCAGAACTGGGTGTCCTAGGGTAGCTCAGTAGATTTAGCCTCTGACTCTTGGTTCCGGCTCAGGTCATGATCTTAGGGTCATGGGATCCAGGCCCGCAAGGGGCTCTGAGCTCAGCAGGGAGTCTGCTTCTCTCCCTCTCCCTCTGCCCCTCCTCCACTTGCTCTCTCTCTCTAAAAAAAATAAATAAATCTTAAAAAAAAGTAAGCTCAGGGGCACCCGGGTGGCTCATTTTGTTGTCTGCCTTTCGCTCAGGTCATGATCCCAGGGTCCTGGGCTTGAGTCCCACATCAGGCTCCCTGCTCAGTGGGGAGCCTGCTTCTCCCTCTCCCTCTACCTCTCCCCCTGCTTGTGCTCTCTCTCTCTCTCTCTCTGACAAATAAATAAACAAAATTGTAAAAAAAAAAAGAAGAAGAAGAAGAAGAAGAATGTGTTCTCCACAACCCTATAGTTTACACTGTAGGGATTCCGTGAAGCAACTGAAATTATTTGCAAAATATTGTGTGTTTATATGTATTATATTCTGGGGACAGCCTATATGTTTTACCAGGTTCTCAACAGCACCCTTGATCCTCTAGACATTAGGAACCATGTATTTTATTTTATTTTATTAAGATTTTATTTATTTATTTGTCAGAGAGAGAGAAAGAGAGAGCGCAAGCAGGGGGAGCGGCAGGCAGAGGGAGAAGCAGGCTCCCCGCTGAGCAAGGAGCCCAATGCGGGGCTTGATTCCAGGACCCTGGGATCATGACCTGAGCTGAAGGCAGAAGCTTAACCCACTGAGCCACCCAGGCGTCCCGGAACCATGTATTTTAATAGATTTGCTCTTCCCTGTTTTAATCAGCAGAGGGCAGAAAAGTAATATAATTAGCAAATTCAACCCCCTATAAATAAGTCCTCAATTTCTGCCATCTATTTCCTGTTTTTGCTCTAGCTTTTTTTTTTTTCAAGTGAGCTCTACACCGAAGGTGGGGCTTGAACTCATGACTCATATCAAGAATCACGTGTTTACTGACCGAGCCAGCCAGGTGCCCCTTTGCTCTGGCTTTTCTCTAGGCTAAAATTCCCTACCTGCAATCCCCTTCTGCATATGTCAAAACCCTACTATCTCTGACTACCCATATCAAAAGCAGCCCTTCTTCTTTAATTTAGATGGATTCACTCTCTCCTTTCAGTTTCCCTGTGTATTCTGTTGATATCTATGGGAGTTATCATGTTCTTCCTTTCAAAACAGCTATTGATTTAATTATTGTTCCAGGAGAACTTGGTCAATTACCCATATTAATCACTGCATAATTATTATTTTTTTGAAAGATGAAAATATAGGTTGTAACTAAACCAATCATTTTCAAGTAAGGTTCCAAAAGATCTGTGTGTCAGAAGATAAATTTCACATCACTGCAACAAGACAAAGGTGATGGTTGCAAAATATATGATAAGTTTTTGCCCCAAAACAATGGTACCAGCTTGCTGTTTAATGTTGCCAAGCAAACAATTAAACAGAAAAAGTAAGAGAAGGCAGTGCTCCTGGCAGACCCATGGATCTATCTTTCCAACAGTGAACAGAACAGACCCAGGGACACCCCTTCTACCAGCCTCTGACCACCCTCCAAACTTTTTTTCAGTTGCAACCTTGGGAGCCATCTTCTCGGCCACCCTCTGCCTCTGGGACAAGTCAACATCCTGTTTTGAGCTTACCTACCCCAAGTATTCTACTCACAAGCTGAGCACAGAAAACTCTGTGATAATACTTGAAGTGCTTAATATTGTTTTGAGTAGAGAATAAATTGGTGAGAAAATAACCCTTGAATGACCCTTCGTGTCCTGATATTTATGTCTCATTTCCTATTTTAAAAGAAACAAAATTAAGGCCTGACTTGATTTTGGAATGCATCATTTTATGGCAAACGACCAAAGGCAAACACTGTGGCTTTCTACCTTTCAAGGCCTTCAATAAGCATCAAATTGAATTGAAATGAATTAAACTGATGGTGAAGTTTCAAACCAAACTGGCCTGTAAGTGAGTGGACAGACCTGCCAATAAATAAGATCACTGGTCTTGAAATGCTCTGAAATAGCCATACGACCCATCGGTTCACAATTTATTTATATTTTGGAATAAGAAGTCCTACCCTGTGCCATCCTGCCCAAATCAGAGCATATAACTTGACTTACAAGGCACATGCCTGTTTGTAGACCAATTTGTCAGACATTAAATGTTCTAGTAGAGAAAGAGGATAATGTGTGTCCCAAAGCCATGAAGCCAGTAATGCACGTTCTTCTCTCGCCCTGGGCATAATGGCCCCAGGAGAAAACTTGATTAACTGGGGAGTGAACAAACCTGCCAACAACAGAACTGCAAGCAGAAAGAAATAGCTACCCTTTTAATAGTTTTAAATAACTTTTTAAAATAATATAGGGGCGCCTGGGTGGCTCGGCCCATTAAGCAGCCAACTCTTGATTTCAGCTCAGGTCATGATCTCAGGGTTGTGGGATGGAGCCCTGTGTTGGACTCAGCATTCAGCAGAGAGTCTGAGATTCTCTCTCTCCCTCTCTCTCTGCCCCTCCCCCCCTAAAATAAATAAATCTTCTAAAAATTATTATAAAGGTATTAAGCACAGAACCCACATCAAAATTCTTAGTGGACTAGCATAACAATTCCATTCAATTCAGAAGTAAATTTAGCAATGCAGCCTCAGGAATCATGGTCAGTTGCACTTTTGATATATCTTTGCAATGAGCCCAAAGAGCTCAAGGTGTTCAGTAAGAAAGGCTAGGAAGGGAAGACAGATCCTCCACAGGCTGGTGATCGGAGAGCAGGAGCATCGAAGTCAATGCTGTACTCAGTAAATAGGAGCCAAGTCAGGTCCCAGGAAAGTCTTCAATAAATCATAAGCATCAAGGCATTAGGCAACCATGAGCTCCTTGAGGAAGGTCACGCTCTGCATGTCTCAGGTATCTATCAGTGGGCTGCAAGCTGTAAGGAGATTTAATTTTGGCTACATTTCTCTTGTCTTTGTTCTCCTCATCAGGAGGACAGATTTGGGGACCTGAAACAGAAATTCTGGAATATATATATATATATGAGTGGACTGATGTACTGGCCTTTTTCATACAGCTGACCGGCTTCAGGCTTTTTCCTGTTCACTGGGTAACAGCTCTCACTAGACTCTTGTTTTCTTTTTTCTTTTTTTTTTTAAGATGTTACTTATTTATTTGTCAGAGAGACAGAGAAAGAGAAGGACAGGGGGAGTGGCAGGCAGAGGGAGAGGGGGAAGCAGGCTTCCCGCTGAGCAGGGAGCCCGATGCAGGACTCCATCCCAGGACCCTGAGATCATGACCTGAGCCGAAGGCAGACGTTTAACCGACTGAGCCACCCAGGTGCCCCTAATTACTACTATCTCTGTTCTAATATTTTAATGCCAGCTGATTTAAAGAATCCATTTTGATTTTGTGTATCTCTCTTCTAAAATCTCAAATTATCTCCTCAACACTTTTGGATCAGATTACCTTTTATACCAAAAGTAGTCCTTACAGTAAATTTCTATTTACATAGAACTCAATCAAGTAGAAGGTTGAATAACCAGGTTTTATCCCCCAAATACTGTATAAGTTATTGTTATGCTGATACTAAAGTTCAGTAACAATATTTTATATCATCAAAAAATGATAGTGTATAAAAAATAAATATCAATTCAATGAAATAAAACTGTAGAGATAATTTAGTTCAGACATAATCTGCACTACAAGTTGATTTGTTTTTGTTTTTTGTTTCGTTTTGTTTTTGGGGGGGTTTTTTGGCAGCAAAGCAGGTTTATTGAGCGATAGGAAAGTGGTGGTACAAAGCTCCCGAAGAGGGAGGATACCAGAGAGGATTGTCACTACAAGATGATTTGTAATGTTTGTCCAACATGATTTGGGATCATCCCAATCAATATGAGCAGCTTATTTACTCAATAAAACAAGCTTAGCATGTGATATTATAAATAAGAAAGCCATTATCCAAGCAAGCATACTGTTGCCTGATTAAAGAATATTAATAGCAGGGTATGATCTGAAATGACTAGAATTCCTCTAGTATCTGGACCTGGAGGTTAATCGAACTTGCCATTTAGATCATTTAACTAATTCGCTTCCTCTGATTTCCCTATACATATTCTTATGATAACTTGTTTTCGATGTGCACTTTTCCATCAAACATACAATGCTGGCTAACCCTTTTCACTTGGCAGCTTATTGTAAGCCCATATATTGATGACTGGTTTGCAGGTGAAATTTTATGAATTTGGTTTTTGCTAATCAGACTCACTTGTTCAAGGCTGAATGCACTACCAAGAATGCTGGGACGGCAGTAAGCCCCCCAAAGTATTACCACCTTTACTGAAACAACCATCTATCTTTCTTCTGTTACATTGATTTCTTAGCTCTTTCTTCAACAAATACAATTTGAAAGTGCTTCTGTAAATGTATTGACGTAGGTTATTATTGTTGGCAATAGTTGTCACTGATTGTTCCACTAACCTGTTCTAAATGATATATCTAAAGCCAATCTCCCCCTGATGTCTGTCAGAACAGTATTTCTGGTTCAAACAATGCATTGGACAAGGTGCTTTTTATAGATCAGTTTTGTTTGTGTTCAAGGCTATGCAATCAGAGTTGCTACAAGTTCTGTAGCCTTTTCTCCATTCTCCTTATAAATTACCTGCTCATTGCTGTGCTACACTGAAGTCCTAGCTAGAGGAGGAGATTGCAAAAAAGATTTGTGTCCATCCTATTGAAATGATTGTAGCAGTTTGTTTGAATGCCCTGTGTTCAATAGCACATAAATCTACTGTGAAATATACATGTAATGGATTACTACCCAGCAGTGGGGGGAAAAATCAGCTATATCCCTAACTGTATCAACCAGTAAGAATCTCTGAAATAATAGAGGGAAAAAAGTGGTGGAAAAATATACTCCAATATTGTTTCTATAAAGTTCACATATTTATGCAGCAATGCTTTATACTATTTATGGTTCTAAACATATGTAGTAAAATTATCGAATGGGAATGGGAAAGACGTATCAACCTCAGGATGGTGGTTTCATTTGAATGGGAAAAGAGACTGGCATCTTTATGTGTATTTATAATATAGTTAAATTATAATAATCAACATTTTTAAAAACCTAAAAATAAAAACAAAAATTAGGTTAAAAGTTGTGGCAGGGGCGCCTGGGTGGCTCAGTGGTTAAGCATCTGCCTTTGGCTCAGGTCATGGTCCCAGGGTCCTGGGATCAAGCCCCACATCGGGCTCCCTGCTCTGTGGGAAACCTGCTTCTCCCTCTCCCACTCCCCCTGCTTGTGTTCCTGCTCTCTCTCTCTCTCTGTCAAATAAATAAAAATAAAAATCTTAAAAAAAAAAAAAAGTTGTGGCAGTAATCCAGGTGAGAGTGGTGAAGCTGACAGAAGACAGTGACAAATGGCATTAAAGAAAGGACTAAATAAAGCAGTGATTTACAAACTTCCACTTTAGTTCTCCCAACGGGGGAAATAAGTGAACTCATACTTCCAGGTACAACCTAAAGTATCCTGCCAAATCTAGAGTTTTGTATTTGAAGTCTGTATAAATTTTGCATTTTATCCCATATCATATGCATGTTTATTTTAATATCAATATATTTTCTATTGATTATAGAAGTCAATTTATACCTTTGACTCTGTAATTCCATCTCTAAAATTTTTCTAAGTCAGGACAAAATATCGACTGACATGAACAGAAAGTCATAACGCTATTCCACCATGAAAACTGCAAACAATATAATGCCCAATGATAAACACTCTCTTAAGTAAAATATGTATCTAAATATTCGTATATAATACAGCCTTTAAGTGAACTATGTAGATGTTGGTGATTTGAAAAAAATTCCTATGGTAACATTGAGTACAGAAAGATACAAAATTATATATACAGTGTGATCTGAGCTATAAAAATCATATGTAACAACAATAAAAGACCAGAAGGAAATGTAGATATCAGGTACTGTTTTGATAATATTTTTCATATTATTTTGTATTATCGCAAAATAATTTTTTGAAGATTTATTTGAGAGAAAGAGAGAGTGTGTGAGTGGGGGAAGCATTTATCTGAGAGAGAGGGAGAGAGAGAATCCTTAAGTAGACTCCCCATTGAGCGTGGAGCCCGACTCGGGGCTCGATCCCAGAACCCTGGGATCATGACCTGAGCTGAAATCAAGAGTCCACCACTTAACCAACTGAGTCACACAGGTGCCCATCAAGATAATTTTTTTTTAAGTAACATTGTTACCCTGTGAGATCTACCAGGGAAAGTTGATAAATTTAAGGAAATTTGTTATTTACCTTCTCTATGAAGTATTTCATAAATAATAAGGCCTACCTCAAGAAACATCCTGAAATGATGTTTATAAGTAACACATAGAATAATGCCTGCCCATCCTAGGCCACCAATAAATGCAATTCTTCTTCTATCTAGAGTCTAATATACTGTCAAGTGCATCATGACTGTTAGATTATTAGGACTGGTGTGTGTGTGTGTGTGTGTGTGTGTGTTTGTGTGTGTGTACTTAGGGAGATCATTAATCATGATGGATTTTCCAGGAAGACAAATTGTGAACACAAATATATTGATATTTCAGATCCAAGAAGTCATAAACCACGTTGCTAGTTTTATTAGAAGGTTTACTCTGAGAACACCCCTCCTTTTTCTTTTTTTTTAATTTTTTTTAAAATATTTTATTTATTTATTTGACAGAGAGAGACACAGCGAGAGAGGGAACATAAGCAGGGGGAATGGGTGAGGGAGAAGCAGGCTTCCAGCGGAGCAGGGAGCCTGATGCGGGGCTCGATCCCAGGATCCTGGGATCATGACCTGAGCTGAAGGCAGACACTTAACAACTGAGCCACCCAGGCGCCCCACCCCTCCTATTTCTAACAGCCTACGCACATCCACATTCGTCAACCACCATGTCTTCATAATGTCGTAAAATGACATTGTCATCATTGTCCTGATAGAGCATGGAAATGGGGGACAGCTTGGTGGGGATACAGACAGCCTGGGGGATCTCTGGGTCAACTGTATGCATCAGTGCTTGCATGAAAGCATAATTGGAACTGTTGAGGGAGGTGGTCATTGAGAAAGGACAATCTCCATGGCAATAGTTTGCCATGAACCCTTTGGGGGCAATAATCCACTTGTGCCAACCTAAGTCCTGGAAGTTGATGAATAGCTGGTGATGATGGCAGAGGTTTCTGCAAGAAGCCTTAGGGGCCAGAACGGCTTCCCTCCTTCTTCGGGATGAAGGGTGGCATTGCTCAGGGTTGAGACTCACCACCAGCAGGGAAGCATGGAGGGACTGTCTCAGTCTGGCACAGGTGTCCTGAAGCTGAAAATTCACCCCCCAGTCTCTGGTCCCTTTGACCAGTATCTCTAGCAACAAACCTAAGTTCTTCCGGGGGTTGTTATTCCAATCCTTAGCCACGTCCAGCAGGTTGAAATGCACAACACCTTGAGGCCATGGTACTGACTGTAACACAAGTATTTTACCTGGTTTGGGGGTGGACTGGCCCCACACGTGAGGCTCCTGAACCAGGGACAGAGCCAACTCCAGTTCTGGTCCCTGCTTATAGTGAGTGTTGGGCCCCAAATCCAGGCCGAGCTGGGCCATTGTTAACTGCTCCTTATCTTGAATGGCGGACAGGTTAAAGTAGAGCTGCTTCTGTAGGCAGGAGGCTTGAGCAAGTTTCTCGGAGTAAAGAAAGAGACCTAGATGGGAACAGAGATGTGAGAGTCACCAAAACATATTTCACTTCAGATCCACCTATATAAGTGTCAAATGTTATATGACATCTACATATGCAAACTAAGGGCAGGAAATTATCATCTATACTCTAAACCCTACCACTGGGAGGATTTGTTTCTCTCACTCCTCATTCAAGGCCAGAGGTCCTTATCTTCACATCTGCTGGTTCCCAAGGGGTCCTGGATAGAATTTAGAAGGTCCATGAATTTGGATGGGAAAAAGAATTACATCTTTATTTTCACGGAACTCTGAATGAAATTTAGCATTTCTTTCAACTATGAATATAGGCAACAAATCCCATTAATATTTTCAGGGCCTATGACACTGTTACCAATGAAAATCCTAGGTGTGTTCATAGATTAAGTTGTTACAAATATCTTAAAATAACATTTACAGGGCGCCTGGGTGGCTCAGTTGGTTAAGCGACTGCCTTCGGCTCAGGTCATGATCCCGGAGTCCCGGGATCGGGTCCCACATCGGGCTCCCTGCTGAGCAGGGAGTCTGCTTCTCCCTCTGAACCTCTTCCCTCTCATGCTTATCTCTCATTCTCTCTCTCTCTCAAATCTCTATCTCTCATTCTCTCTCTCTCAAATAAATAAATAAAATCTTTAAAAAAAAAAGAAAAAAAAATAACATTTACACTCACGCTACTTTGAATTTATGGTAAATATAGTCCCATCCCTGGATCTTGTTATTTGTTGCATTAATAAATGCATCCATGTATGTCACTGTACACACATTTGGTTTAAAATATTTTTATAAATGTATTTAAATATTTAATTGATTTCCTTGGAAATCATATTCTATTTTATTTTTCTTTTAAGATTTCATTTATTTGACACAGAAAGACACAGCGAGAGAGGGAATACAAGCAGGGGGAGCGGGAGAGGGAGAAGCAGGCTTCCCGCCGAGCAGGGAGCCCGAGGTGGGGCTGGATCTCAGAACCCCGGGATCATGACCTGAGCCGAAGGCAGACACTTAACGACTGAGCCCCCTAAGTATTTTATTTTAGTCATGTAAACCATTACTCTGAGAAGGAGTCCATCACCTTCAACAGAATGGCCAAACGGCACAAAAATGTTTAAGAACATCCTAGACAGTCAGGTGTTGCTCGCCAAAAATCTAACTGCTTAGATTGACTTCAAAACAAACTCTTATCATCTAGCCAAGACTGGCCCTCTGAAATCCCATATGTTTCATCCTTAGATGATTCCTTATCTAAAGCCCACAGCTGTCAATGTCAACAATTTCTGGTCCGGGGTCTCTGCAAACATCATCTCCCACTTCACTGAATATTGAAGTGCAGTGTGATCCTCCAGTTTCTTCACATGGACCCCTCTCTCTTATCTTTTGCCATTGTAGATGTACTCTCCCTATTTTCAAAGCTGACTTCCCTGCCCAGATTTTCAAACCTTACCTATTCCTTTACAAAAAGGCCCAGTAGAGCTTATTTTTACCTTTTTATCCCCCCAGCTTCAATTTCTCCCTCTCCGCAAATAATTTCTTTGGCTTAATGCCACCATATTGTTAGGTAGGGTGTCTCCACCCTAGGTAGGGATTTTTTTTTTTTAAAGATTTTATTTATTTATTTGAGAAAGAAAGAATGAGAGACAGCATGAGAGGGAGGAGGATCAGAGGGAGAAGCAGACTCCCTGCTGAGCAGGGAGCCTGATGCGGGACTCGATCCTGGGACTCCAGGATCATGACCTGAGCTGAAGGCAGTTGCTTAACCAACTAAGCCACCGAGGTGCCCCAGGGATTTTGGGTTTTTAGGGGAAGTGGGGGGCAGAGGGAGAGGGAGAGAGAGAGAATCTTAAGCAAGCTCCACACCTAGCACGAGCTTGATGCAGACTCCATCTCACCACCCTGAGATCATGATCTGAGCCGAAGAAATCAAGAATCAGATGCTCAATCGACTGAACCACCCAGGTGCCCCAACCCTAAGTAGGGATTTTCTAAGACCGTTCAGCTTATGGAGAAATTACAACAGAAACCCAAACATTCCAACGGTGCCTGGCTGGCTCATTCGGTAGAACATGTGACTCTTGGGTTGTGAGTTCAAGCCCCACAATGGATCTGTGGAGATTACTTTAAAAACAAAACAGAAAGAACCGCCCCCCCCCAAAGACACCCTAACATTCTAACCATTCCCCCTTCATTCTCAAGTCTCATTTAAAAGACAATAAAATTAAGAAGCATTTGAAATTACCCAGCATATTCTTCAAGACTACCTTATCATCTTTCTCTTTCTTTTCATTGACCATCTTTTGAAAAGGTAAGTCTATATTTGCTGTCTCTACCTCTTTATATTCTTCTGTTATTTTCCAACTCTCTACCCCTCACTATTCCACTGAAACATCTTTCTTAAAGGTTGGCTAACTGTCAAGTGCAGAGATGTCTTCATAGTACTTATCTTCTCCACTTCTCTGAAAAGTTGACCTCTCCTGTTCCAGGCTAGAATTCTAACCTATCCATCTCCCTTCCTCTTCCTAGCACTAAATCAGATTCCTTAAGCATAAAAGAAAATCCAAAAGCCACAATGGAAAGGATAGACAGATTTGAGAGCATGAAGATAAAAGAACTTCTATATTCAAAAGACATCATTAACAAAATTTAAAACCACAAGGAACAACCAAGAAAACTTATAATATTCATGAGTTTAAATTCATAATTAGAAGGAGTTTTTACAGATGATCAAGAGGGCTTACAAATCATTAAGGAAAGGAAGACTCCTCAGTAGAAAATGGCCAGTGTGTATAAATAGGCAATTGTTTGAAGAAAAAAAAAGAAAGATTCATTATCCATTTAAAAATGCATTCCACCGTATTAAAGAAATAAAAATCAAAACAATGAGATCATGTTTTGCTACCAGAGTAACAAAAACTAAAAACTAAAGAGTATTGTTACTCAATGGTCTTCACAGAATGAAATACCGTAAGCAATGAGAATGAGCTACAGATACACACATCATGGATAAATCTCACAAATACAATGTTGAGTGAAAGAAGCCAGATAGAAAAAAAGGACACATTTCACATTTCCATTTATATGAAGTTCAGAAATAGGCAAAACTGATATGCAATGTTACAGGATAAAAATTACTCTTGCAGAGGAGTAGTGATTAACCAGAAGAGGGCATAAAGGATCCTCTGAGGGTTGTTGCTCTGTTCTGTTTAGGATCTGGATGTTGATTATTCTGTGAAAATTAACTGAGCTATTCTCTATGATTTGTGCACTTTTCTGTATGTATGTTATACTTCAATAAGTTTCTATAATATTTCTATAAAGATCGCTGTCAAGTTGTGGGAAAGTGAGAATTCTTTTTTTAAAGATTTTATTTATTTACTTGCCAGAGAGAGAGAACACAAGCAGAGAAGCGGCAGGCAGAGGGAAAAGCAGGCTCCTCACTGAGCAAGGAGACCGATGCAGGACTCGATCCCAGGACCCTGGGATCATGACCTGAGCTGAAGGCAGACACTTAACTGACGGAGCCACCCAGGTGTCCCAGAATTCTTTTTTTTTTTTTTTTAAGATTTTATTTATTTATGTGACAGAGAGAGACACAGTGAGAGAGGGAACACAAGCAGGGGGAGTGGGAGAGGGAGAAGCAGGCTTCCCGCTGAGCAGGGAGCCCGATGCGGGACTCGATCCCAGGACCCTGGGATCATGACCTGAGCCAAAGGCAGACGCTTACAACTGAGCCACCCCGGCGCCCCGGAAAACTAGAATTCTTATACATTCATGGTGGGGTATAAATTTTGGAAGACACTTGCTATATATAAAAAGTATGATTGTGTCTGTCAAATAAATAAATAAAATATTAAAAAAAGAAAAAAAAACGTTATTTTGTTTGGTTTTTTTTTTTAAGATTTTATTTATTTGACAGAGAAAGACACAGCTAGAGAGGGATACAAGCAGGGGGAGTGGGAGAGGGAGAAGCAGGCTTCCCGCTGAGCAGGGAGCCCAATGCGGGACTCGATCCCAGGACCCTGGGACCATGACCTGAGCCGAAGGCAGACACTTAACGACTGAGCCACCAGGCGCCCTGAAAAAACGTATTTTGAATCCTGACTTTGCTCACGCGCTCCTGATCTTGAATAGCTTATGGGTTAATCTACTGTCCGAGTCTGACTTTCCTTATTGTTAAAAAGCTGATAAGAATACCTGCCTTTGGGGCACCTGGGTGGCTCAGTTGGTTAAGCGACTGCCTTCACTCAGGTCATGATCCCGGAGTCCCGGGATCGAGTCCCACATCGGGCTCGCTGCTCAGCAGGGAGTCTGCTTCTCCTCTGACCCTCTCCCCTCTCATGCTCTCTCTCTATCTCATTCTCTCTCTCAAATAAATAAATAAAATCTTAAAAAAAAAAAAAAAGGATACCTGCCTTTGGAATCTCGGGATGTGGCCAGGATCATGAGATAAAATATGTAAAAGACCAGCACAAGGCCTTCTACAAACCCCTCAGTAATTGTTACCTTCCCCTTCTTTTCTTTCTTCATGCCATCGAATTAGCACTCTAATTTCCTTACCTTGATCCAGGAGAAGTCTCAGTATGTTCCCACGGGTACCAAGATCCTTTATGTAGCATAAATCTTGGGAGTCCCCACTGGTTGCCGCTGCCTCTCGATCCCAGAAAATTTTCTTCAAAATAGAAGGCACAGGTCGGAACTTCTGGGGTGAAGGCACTTTGTCTAAGCCCAGAAATTGGAGAAAGACATGTTCTTGAAATTGGAATGTCTGGCCCAAAGCCACAGTGACCAGAAGGCGGAGAGCCAAGGCAGTCAGGGAAGGAATCATGGCCTCTGAGCGGAGACAAAGCGGGCCAGTCGGGCTGGAGAGACGTCGGTGGCCTGACTGCCTGGCAATTCAGACACTGCCAATTTATCTGATGGAAGATAATCAAGTGTGAATTGCTCTCTTCCCAGCTCCTCAAAGGCAATTGGATGTCAGAGGACATAGAATTTTTTTCTCTTCTCTTGCTCTGCTCTTCCCCTCAAGAAGTTCACAAAGCAAAGATTACCAATGCATAGACTTAACTACAAAAATCTGAGGTTTGTCTGCAGTAGACAGACTGGAAAGGAGACATGCATTTATTCATGTAACAAACATTTATTAAGCATCTATTACGTGCAAGGCTCTGATAGAGGTGCTAGAATAGTAATGAAAAATGCAGAGTCTTGTCACTGACAGTCTATTTAGACAAATACATAGGCAGATTTCTGTTAGACTGTATCCCCAGTGCTGTGGGAAGCCAAACCAGGAAGAGAAAACTCCACCCAAGGAATTCGATCTACACTCTGTTTTCAGCTCTAAGAGGGACTGAATTTTATTCACCTAACTTTGCCCTTCCTTTTTATTTAAAGTTGTATTTATTTAAGTAATCTCTACATCCAACCTGGGGCTTGAACTCACGACCCCAAGACCAAGAGTCCCATGTTCCTCAGACTAAGCCAGCGAGGTGCCCCTAACTTTGCCCTTCCTGATTAAAAGTCAAAAATCAGACTGACTGGGTTACTTCTGATTCTACTACTTTTTAGTTATATAAAACTGGGCATGTCACTTAACCTTCTGAAGTTTTTGTTTTCTCAACTGAAAAGAAAAACTGACCTTTTAATTTGCTATAGGAATCTGATAAGATGATGTATTTAAAGTGCTCTGCATGCCTGCCAAATGGCAAGCACAAAGTGTTCGCAGAGGAGAAAGCTTCAAAGTTGAAGTAAGTAGACGTTTTTCAGTAAGACAATCGCGCGTTCAAGGCTGAAGGAACTGATGTGGAAAGGCATGGAGGTTATTGAGAAGTTTACGGCAGCATATATCAATTTCTGGTTTTGCATTTTGTTGTTTTACCAAACTCCTAGACGAGTTCCAAATGCTATAGAAGAATTAGCTGGTTTCTTGCCAAACTAATTTTCATGCTTTTTGAAAACAGGGACTTTTTCATTTCACATTCTTTTATACCACCTATTCTAAGGCCTTGTTTTCCCCAAAGGAAAAACAAAATATTGTATCTAATATATAATAGTTTCCCATCATCTACAGCATAAAGTCAAGACTCCTTAGCTTGGCATTTCTTTTTTTTTTTTAATTTTTAAAAGATTTTATTTATTTATTTGAGAGAGAATGATGGGGGCAGGGGAGGGCAGAAGGAGAAGCAGACTCCCTGCTGAGCAGGGAGCCTAACGCAGGGCTCAATTGATCCCAGGACTTCTGGGATCATGACCTGAGCTGAAGGCAACTGCTTAACAGACTGAGCCACCCAGACACCCCCTTAGCTTGGCACGGAAAGATTGTATTGATCTGGCAATCATATTGTTGCAGGATTGCAGGGTTCTTGTCCCATGGAGTCGAAGAATGAATCGAAGAATGAATCTTGCGGACTCAAAAGGGTAAAGTGAAGTGAACGTTTATTAAGTGAAGGTGAGAACAGAAAGGAAAGAAAAAGCTCTCTAGAGGGAGACGGGTCCCAAATGGGTGCCACTGAGGGCTGTTAGTGGCAGTCTTATTGAAAACTTGACCGGGAAGCTTGTGGCCTTGAGATTCTTGTGCCGTCTTGGTTTGTTTCCTCATCTCTTATTCCACTCTGTCTCAGCGTCTCCACCTGCTGGAATAGTTCTGGAACCTGGTCAGGGGAGTCAGGGGGCCTCCTATCTCTCCTGCCTATTCCTTAACCCCTTCCCTATTCGTGGGACGGGACCTGTGGGCAGAAAGAGCTACACTGGATTGTGAGGAGTGACAGATTGCATACTTTTTAATTAGTGGGGGTGAGGGATAGCGCAAGTCTCCAAGGAATCTGGAAGCAAGGCTTTCAGGAACTTGAGGGGCCAGCTGCTGCCAAGATAAGGTTACTTTTTTCTTTTTTAAAAGATTTTATTTATTTATTTGACAGAGAGAGAGACACAGCGAGAGAGGGAACACAAGCAGGGGGAGTGGGAGAGGGAGAAGCAGGCTTCCCACGGAACAGGGAGCCTGATGCAGGGCTCGATCCCAGGACCCTGGGATCATGACCTGAGCTGAAGGCAGACGCTCAACGATCTGAGCCACGCAGGCGCCCCTCACTGTGTCTTTTGTCTCTGTCCCTCCCAGACGATATACTTCTGCAGAATGGGAATCATGTGTTTTCATCTAAGTCTCTCCACTGTCTATTTTCCTCTAAGTATCTCCATGGCCCAAGGAAGTGTCTGGCAGGTAGTAGACACTCAGTAGATATCTGTGCAACAAATAAATGTACAAAATGAATTGGTGCTATTTCCAGAGGTCTCATTCTTCTAGATAGCCAAGTTTCCCCCATTCCCATTTCTCCTATGTCCTCCTGCTTGCATCCTAAAAAGCTAAACGTTAACACTTTTATATTCATCTATAGGGGCGCCTGGGTGGCTCAGTCAGTTAAGCGCCTGCCTTTGGCTCACTCAGGTCATGATCCCGGGGTCCTGGGATTGACCAGAGCCTGCATCGGGCTCCTTGCTCAGCGGGGAGCCTACTTCTCCCTCTCCCTGTCCCTCTGCCTGCCATTCCCCCTGGTTGTTCTTTCTCTCCCTCTCTCTCTTTCTGTGTCAAATAAATAAATAAAATCTTTTAAAAGAAAGCTTTAATTCATCTATAATCTTCACCTGTTTTCAACAATAAGTGCGGGTCACGTTTCATTTTTCCTTATTCAACTTTTCTGACTTCAGAATTAGGGGCACCTGGGTGGCTCAGTCGGTTAAGCATCTGCCTTTGGCTCAGGTCATGATCTCCAGGTCCTGGGATCGAGCCCCACATCTGGCTCCTTGCTCAGCGGGAAGTCTACTTCTCCCACTCCCTCTGCCCCTCCCCAAAGCTCGTGCTCTTTCTCTCTCAAATAAATAAATAAATAAATAAATAAATAAATAAATAAAATCTTAAAAAAAAAGTCAGAATCAGGAAAACTGGTTTAAATTCAGGTTCCACCACTTACGAGTTGTGTGATCATGACCAAGTCACTCAACTGTAAAGTAAGAATAAAACAGTCTTTGCTACGGTGCTGAGGAAATCTGATGGGATGATGTGTACGCAATGCTCAGGACAATGTCTGCCATTGAAGCATTTGATAAAGTCCATTAGTATATCAGTACCCACAAAATGGAGGCCACCCGAGTAGCCTGGTGCCTATGTCACAAAACTAAACCTAACTTAGCCTGCATTTATGGAAACATCTATTAGGAAAATTTAATATACATCAATCACAGTCCTCCAACTCAGCTTTAGCTAGCTCACCTTTCCCTGGAAAATAGGACTTGCTAGCCTTCTAAGGAAATCCCCAACCTAGCCAATCATGCCCTGTTCTCATGTTGCCTCTTCTAAAGCTCTATAAAACTTGCATCAAATAAATCCCTTGGGAACAGTGTCCCTTTGCTGTGAAGCACTGTACTCTCCCAATCCATGGTTGTTTTCTCTTAAATAAAGGACATTTAAAAAAAAAAAAAGACATCGGGACACCTGGGTGGCTCAGTCGTTAAGCGTCTGCCTTCGGTTCAGGTCATGATCCCAGAGTCCTGGGATCGAGCCCCGCATCGGGCTCCTTGCTCGGCAGGAAGCCTGCTTCTCCCTCTCCCACTCCCCCTGCTTGTGTTCCCTCTCTCGCTGTGTTTCTCTCTGTCAAGTAAATAAATAAAATCTTAAAAAAAAAAAGACATCAAACTTGTTACTAAATTGTTTTAGTTTTGTCATTTGACATACTTGATAAAAGTTAGCTGGTATTAATTATTGTTATTTTTGTTTATTAAAAGGGAGTTTAATCAAGGGAAAGAAAATAATTGAGAGTGTTTAATATAGCGATATATATATAGCAAGAAAAAGCACCACATCAAGCAAGAGTCAGAAGATCTAAGGTAATCACAGTTCCTCCAATGACCATGTAATCCTGGTTGTTTCACTCAGTGTCAGTGTTTTATGATACCTACCCAAGCATGGAAATTTTTTAAATAGAAAGATTTAAATGGTCTGCAATGTCATAAAGTGTTAACCTATCTGGGCCTCACTTTCTTTACCAATAAAATCACAAGATTGAATTGGATTGGGCGCCTGGGTGGCTCAGTTGGTTCAGCGACTGCCTTCGGCTCAGGTCATGATCCCGGAGTCCCGGAATCAAGTCCCGCATCGGGCTCCCTGCTCAGCAGGGAGTCTGCTTCTCCCTCTGACCCTCCCCCCTCTCATGCTCTCTCTCTCTCTCATTCTCTCTCTCAAATAAATAAATAAAATCTTTTTTTAAAAAAAAAAAAAGATTGAATTGGATTGTCTTTAAGGATTTTACAGAAATATGTGATTCTGGATTTTCAGCCCTAATCAGAAATTCAAAAGTGAGGCAATATGGCTAAATAGCCTAGAATTGGTTCTGTAGTCAAGGACTTAGATTAAAACCCCAGCTCTATCATTCACTGTCTGGGGAGTCCTGGACAAATTGTTTCTCTGGCTTTCGGTTTTCTAATCAATACAACAAAAAAGACATTGGTCCAACAGAATTATTGTGATCATAAGTATAAAGGATATTTAACCTCAGTAGGGAAAAAAAAGCAGATTAAAGCAACGAAATGTCTATCAATTAGCAAGATGAGAAAGACAACAGCAGGGCACCTGGATGGCTCAGGGGGTGGAATGTGCGACTCTTGATCTTTTTATTTATTTATTTGAGAGAGAGAATGAGTGGGAGAAGCAGAGGGAGAGGGAGAGAGAATCTCAAGCAGACTCCTCACTGAGCAGGGAGCCCAACCTGGGGCTCATCTCACAACCCTGAGATCACAACCTGAGCAGAAACCAAGAATTGAATGCTTAACCAACTGCACCACTC